CCGCCGCAGCCCGCGGGCCGCAGGCGACCGAGCGCCGAGATGCAGCCGCGGCTCTGGCTCCTCGTGGCCGCGAAGCTCGCAGGTGAGACCGGGAGACTCGCGGCGGCCGGGTGGGTGGCCACGCGGGACCGAGACCGAGAGAGCGGGGATTTTAGAAACGGTGTCTAGAGCACGCCTGTAATCCAAGACCTTGGGAGGCTGAAGCAGGAGGATCGCCGCAAATTCGAGGCCAGCCTGAACTACTCCTTGAGACTCTAAACAAAAATAAAAGATAATGCAGAGACCAGAGGCCAGTCGTAGGCACACTGGGAGGCGGCGGGGCAGGTCCCAGAAAATGGAGAGGAAATGCCTGCGGGGAGCATTGCTCAGAGATCCCAGAGCCCCAGCTGCAGGTCACCTGGGGACGGGAGAAGGGGACTCAGGAAAGGGGAGGAGGGAAGGAAGTGAAAAGGGCAGGGAGGAAGGATCCCGGGATGATGAAAAGGTGCCCGTATCCCGGGTCCCTGCAGGAATGCGGCTCTGGAAGGCGCCCCATCCTGGGTCCCACACCGCACCCTGCGAGAGGCCTGTACACATTTCTTAGTACTTCCAGGAAGTGTTTGTGGTACAGTCGGACCGCGGGGCTCAGGCCAGGTCCGGCCAGCTGGGGCACCGCCGGGTGCTCTCTGGCGTCCGTGCTCCTGTGTAGCATGGACCTGCACAGAGAAGGAGGGCAGGGTGAATCTCGCCGAGGAGGGGAAATGGACACTCACCACCCGCTGGCCTTTGGGCAGCCGCTTCTGGGCGCCCTGAGAAAGGCTTCCCGAATCTGGGGCCCAGGAGAGCCAGGGACGATCACAGATTTCCTCGGTCCCGCGGCTCCAAGCCAGGTACCCAGTCCACAGCTGGGTTTGAAACTGCATCCTCTCCCTCTGGGCTGTGTGACTTTGGGCACGTCGCGGCCCTTTCTGAGCCTGTTTCCTGGTGTATAAAACGGTGTGAAACAGTCCTGCCCCTCCGGATTTGGTGAGGATTAAGTGAGACAGTGAGCATCGTACCAGGTCCAGCTCCTCTCTGCTGCCCTGGAGGATGCTATGAACTCCCAGGAGGTCAGTGACCCAGAAAGGTGTGGTCCTGGCCCCAGTGAGAAGGTGGCAGTGGCGTTTGGGGAGACAGGAGGAGCCCCAGCAGCTGGGACAAAAGGCACAATCCCTTCTCAAAGCAAGGAGAGGATGACTGTGGGGCTGCGGAGTCACAAGCTTGGAGCAAGTTCATCCGTGTTAGTAGTGACAGGACACCAGGACACGACACTGTGCGGGCGACCAGCTCGGAACACACACCCCTGGCCTCGCTGTGCCCGCCTCTGCCGGAGCCAAAAGGAAAGGCTCGCGGGGCAGATCGGGTTTGCTGGAGGATGTGCCTCCTCGAAGCGCAGGCCGCCCTTTCTGAGGCTTCTCCTGGACATGCAGACAGCTCTTACCTGGGTGCAGTGCTTTAGTGTACAGTGTGATTTCCTAAGCTTCCTTTCGTTTCTCTTCTTTCTTTATCTTCCTTTCTCTTCAGTAGGAGAGATGGAACCCAGGCCTTCACACTGAGCTACATCCCCAACCCCCTCCCCCTCTTTTTTTTTCCCCCCTGAGACAGGGTCTTGCTGTGTTGTTAAGTTGCCTGGGCTGGGCTTGAACTTGCCACCCTCCTGCTCGCCCTCCCAGAGTGCTGGGATCACCCGGCTTCCTTTCATTTCTTTCACACCTTCCAAGGAAAGCAGGACATCACCAAGCTGCTCACCTTTCCCAAGGAAGAGACAGAGTCTCCGTGAGCTGTCTGAGATCACGAGTGGGACAGGGCAGAGGGTGGGTCCGAGGCCGGATCCCTGAGTCTTCCCTGGTTCTTCCTGGACAAGCCCCTGCCTGCTGCGAGCTCCCACCTGCAGTGAAAATGAACTCCCAGCCCTGTTTCCGGGGTATCTGTCTTCCCTCTGGGGAGTGGGGACTCAGTGACCAGTCCATCCTGGGGTGGAGATTAATGGGCCTCAATCGTGCCTGCCAGGGACAGCGAGCTCCTTTTGCTGGTCGGAGCAGGTGGCTGGTCCTCTTTTAGGTCGCCTAGACCAGACGTGTGTTCTGCCTGGGACTCTGAGCCACCTGCGGCTTGGTCTCAGTCAGCTGCTCCAAGCCCTTGGTCTCAGTCAGCTGCTCCAAGCCCAGTGGCCAGCTTTGGCTTCAGATTTTGGATCCTGGAGTTTGAATCCCAGGCTGCTTTTTATCTGCAAATGGTATTTTGAGCGAGTACCTTATTGCCTGAGTTTTCTCATCTGTGTAATGGGCATAAAAATCCCAAAGCCAGCTGGGCATAGTGGGGCACGTCTGTAAGCTCAGCACTCTGAGAGGCTGAGGCAGGAGGATTTTGAGTTCAGACTCAGCCTGGGCAGTTTAACAATTTAGTGAGAACACGCCTCATAATAAAAAATAAAAAAGGGGCTGGGGATGGAGCTCAGTATGAAGACTCAGTATCACAGTACAGTATCACAAAAAAGAAAGAAAAGAGAGAAAAATCTCAAAGCCAGTTTGAGGCGTGACTGAGGTCATTTAAGCAAAGGGCAGGTGCCTAAGGATACAGCGTACAAATGTAAGCTGGACATGGTCAGTTCCGGCCTTGCCGCAGGGTTCCTGGGAGGTGAGACCCTAGTCCCTGTAACCCCCAAGGCCCTGTCACTAGCAGCTGACTTCACTGACCCCCTGGCATTTGCAGTTCTCCAGGGCAGCGGTGGCCTCCTGCAGAACCCCGGCTCCCTGGTGCTCCAGACCAACCAAGTGGCTGCAATGAGCTGCGACTTTAAAACCACCGGCAGCAACAGCCGCATCTACTGGCTGAGGCAGCGCCAGGCCCCCAGCGAGGACAGCCACCACGAGTTCCTGGCCTCTCAGGAGTACTTAGGGAACGTCACCTATGGCGAGGCTGTGACACCAAGAACACTCACTCTAACTCGGAGTGGCGCCCGCGTCACCCTCAACCTCAAACACACGAAGCCTGAGGACAGCGGCATCTACTTCTGCATGACCATAGGGTCCCCTGAGCTCATCTTCGGGAGAGGAACCACCCTGAGCGTGGGTAAGAACTGGGCTTTATGCTAGAAATCGGCATAGAAAGCCAGGCATGGTGGCGCACGCCTAGAACCCCAGCACTCGGGAGGCTGAGGCAGGAGGACCATCATGAATTCGAGGCCAGGCTAGGCTATGTAATGATCAAGGCCAGTCTCAAAAAGGAACATAATAAGACCCTGTCTCAGAAAAGTTTTTTTTTTTTCCTTAAAGAAAAAACGAGTGTTGAGCATGTGCTGGGTGCCAGGTGCATACCCTACCCAGCACTGGGCTGCCCTGCTGTCAGTGCTGGTAGCAATACTGCTGGGGATAACAGGAAACAAGGGCTGAAGATCACCCAGCCGAGCACCTGCAAGAGCTTTTCATAGCAATCTCCACGCTGCCACCTTCCCTGGCGTGGAATGTGTTATGACTCCCATTTTATTTCTCCATTTTGAGGTTTTGTTTTGTTTTTTTGAGACAGGGTCTCACTACTTAGCTCAGGCTGGCCTTGAACTCACTATGTAGCCCAGGCTGGCCTCCAACCTGCGGCGATCCTCCTGCCTCAGCCTCCCATGCTGCTGGAATTACAGAGGTGCAGCAGCTTCCCAGCTTCCTTTTTTCATACTGAGCATTTAATGCATATTTTGTCTGTCCAGTGCATCTCTTTCCGGCCTGGCCACACCCCAGGCGCGCACCCGTGGCAGGTGGCTGCCTCACGGGACCTTGAGGACTCAGCTGCCCAGGGTGGGAAGGGCTCCCGGCAGAATCTCCCAGGCTGAGCCGGGCCGGCAGGAGCAGCCCCTTCCCTGGTCTCACCCATGCTCAGGCCTCGAGCTGCGCTTCTCTCCAGGCTGGGGACACTGAGTGGGCCGAAGGGAACCCAGAAATGAGACCACTCAGCATGGGTCTACAGGGACACCAGGGACAGCAGCGCAGTGAGGAAGACAGAGGCAGAGCAGTGGCAGTATCGCCTCTCGCCGGTGCCAGGGCTCAAGTCGCATCATGGGGTGCGGGAAATGGGACCCCCTTGGGTGGGACCCCACTGGTTCTTGTGCTGAAATTCAGGCTTTGGGGCTGGTGTTGGGTTTGCTGCTTTTCTCACTAAAGCCGCACCCCTTCCCTAAGATCCCACAGGGTGGATCGGGAAATAAGCACAGCTGGGTTTCAGACGCTTCTCCCCGCCCTGCCTCCCACTATAGCACTCGCTTCTGGCTTCCGTGTTTCCAAGCCCCTGTGATCCCCAGCACCTTGCTGGCACCCCGAACATCCCCTGGAACCATCCCCTCTCTGGGCCGGGGATAGAGGCAGAGAGCACCTGTCCCTTTCAAGGACAGAGAGGGAGAGTTTTACCGGGGAGTAAGCAAGCAGACCTGACTATAGCCAAAATGCATTTAAAACTGAACACCAGGCTGGCATGGTCATCCCCCCAGAATGCATTCAGATATCTATAATGCCAGCACTCTGGGAGGCTGAAGCAGGAGGGTCACAAGTTGGAGCCTACCCTGGGCAATTTAGTGACTTAGCAAGATCCTGTCTCACAATTCTAAAAAGGGCTGGGGTGGACCTCAGTGGGAAGGCTCTGGATTCAGTCCTTCGTGATGGGGAGAGAGACACAAAAACAAATGAATAAAGCGAAGGGCCTGCTCCCTGTGACCCTCCCAGACCCAGGCCACTGTGCCCAGCTGAGGGGTTGTGAGCTGGTAGCTCCGGCTCCTCCCAGGGTCACCACTGAGCAGCGGAGGGACTCCCTGCTTGAGTGTAAAATGAAGCAAGCCAAGCTGGCCGCACACCTACTATCCCAGCACTTGGGAGGCTGCGGAAGGAGGATCTCAGTTAGTTAGAGGCCAGCTTGGGCCACACAGGGAGACCCTCTCTCAAAAAATAAACAAGTGAGGCAAACAGAAGCACTTCTGGGATTGTGCAGATTCAAGGAGTTACCCCCCACCCCAGTGGGGACCGGCTGGGAACCTGGCACACTCATAGCTGGTGTCGATCACCCCTCACCGTAGTTCCTGCAGGCCACCTGCGGTGTATAACTCCGTCAGAAACTTGCTCCAGGGCAGAGCGGAACAATGCTCAGTGTAGCACGGGACAATGGGCAGCGCGGGTGGTGGAACCAAAGCCTTGGGGATCAGATCCCAACTCCGGGTCAAGAGCTGCCTAAGGTGGGCCAGCTATTTCAGCCCTCTGAGCCCAGCCCTCCTGGTGGATAAAATGACAGTGGCAGTGCCCATCCCGGAAGTTGTTGAGGTCAGTAAACTGAAGTTGAAGGGCTTGTCACCGCCACCAGCCCATTGAGAGCTGAGTGTACATTCATTCTAGTTCCTTGGTTCTTCCTGGAAAGAGCCCACTCGAGAGGGTGTTCTCTCACCACGCAGAGGAGGCTCCGGAGGACAGGGCCAAGGTGGCTACTTTTTGTTGTTGTTTTTCTGGGGTTTTTTTGAGACAGGGTCTCTCTATGTAGTCCAGGCTATCTTGAATTCACTGTGTACCCTACGCTGTCCCCAAACATGCAGCAATCCTCCTGCCTCAGCCTCCCAAGCTGCTGGGATTACGGGGGTGCACCCCCACACCCATCTAAAGTGTCCACTTCAGAAATGGAAGACGCCAGCCCACGAGGACCTGTCTGCTGGCTGCCGTCCTGTCCCTGGGTTCTGGAGGTTAAGTTCGTGGTACTTCTCTCTCCCTTCCCCTGCCACTTTGCAGGAACTCATTTTGTGAGCTGTGTCCCTGGCCCGCAAAGGCGAGGGCTGCAGGGTGTGCGCTCGGCACCTACAGCTCGCTCAGCTCCTCAGAGCCCAGGGAGGGTGTCTCTTTGCTCTACATGCTGTGCCCCCACCCTCACCCGGCCCTCAGCGTGGGACACTGGCTCAGGGTGACCAGAGGAGGGGCTGCCCAGGCAAGGAGAGGCGCCAGGCCCCAGCCTGGCTCTTGGTACAGCGAGGCCTCAGGCGCAGCCCTCTCCTCTCCGCTCTGAGCCTTTGAAATCTAAGTCTGAGACTGGAGGCCTCTCTAGCTCTATATTATACAATCTTTTATTTTTAGTAGTGGGATTGACCCTGTCGCCTGCACACTGAGCTACATCCACAGCCCCTCTTACTACCCCACCTTTTAAACTTTGAGACAGCATCTTGCTAAACCAGTGACTTGCCCAGGCTGAGATCCAACTTGTAATCCTCCTGCCTCAGCTTCCTTCAGTGCTGGAATTATAGGCTCGTATCACCACCCCCAGAAAGCTCTAGATGGCAAGATTTTTCAGGACACCTGAAAAGGGAAACAGCACCAGGCTGGCAGCCTGCGTGGCACTGCAGTGCAGAAAGATCTCCCTCTTCCCCCTTTGAGCTCCTCCTCTGGTGTAGGGGGTGCAGGAGTGCTGCGAGCCTGGTGGGGCCAAGGGCCTGGGGATCCCAGCTTCGACTCCAGGTCTTCTGCCAGGAACCCACGGCTGCTGCATACTTCGCAGGGTGCCTTATCCCTTTTAATGCTCACAACAATCCCAAGAAGGAAGTGGGGATCCTCTTTGTTGGGCAGATAGGGAAACTGATGCATAGAAAAGCACAACCACGTGTCCCAAGGGAACCACTTGTGTGCCGTGATCGGGGGCACTGGGCTGCTCAGCTCGTGGCTCCGGGGCCCTTCTCTCTCCAGGACACCAAGCGACCCCATTCCCAGACCCTAGATCCATCGGACAGCAGGACCAGAAGTTCCCCTGCTCTGTGACCTGAGGCTGTGCAGGTCTCAGGACCACGGCACCAGGATGGAAGGTGCAGTTTGTCACTAACCCCTAGCTGAGACCTGCGTCTGCTCTTTCCGCAGTTGACGTCCTGCCCACCACCGCCCAGCCCACCCAGAAATTGCCCCCTGGGAAATTGCCCCCCGGGAAGAAAAAGTGCCAGCCCCCCAGCCCACGGACCCAGAAAGGTGAGTTCCCCGGCCCTCCCTCCCGGACTCCCCCTCTTTCCAAATATGCTGGGCCAGTAGCCGGTTCCTCCAGCGTCACAGAGGGATCAGAAGGGGCACAGTGTAACAGCAGCACACAGGTCACTGGGGTCAGACTCCCAAGTCTACAGATCAAAACTCGGAGGAGGATCTATCCACCAAAATGCCTGCACGCCGCGGCTCCCCGCGGCACTGTGCATAACAGCTGAAAAGTAGAAGCAACCCAAATGCCACCAGTGACTAGTGAATGGATCACACAACAAGATGTGCAGTCCATTCCAGTGGAGCAGTATTACTTGGCCATAACAGAGAATGAAGCACTGGTAAGTGTTAAAGCCTGGATGAACCTGTAGACTATGATATCGTCTGAAGCTAAGAAGGGTGATGCACGCCTGTAATCCCAACACTGTTGGAGGCTGAGGCAGGAGGGTTGTAAGATCAACCCCTACCTGGACAACATCAGTTTAGTAAGATCCTGTCTCAAAATAATTTTTTTCTTAAATAAGGAAGAGGGATATAGCTCAGCGAGAAGGCTGTGGGTTGATTCCCCAGTACTGCAAAAAAAAAGATAGTGTATGATTCCACGGATATGAAACGTCTGGACTAGGACCTTCTATAGAGACAGAAAAAGATGAGCGGCTGATGGACCAGAAGGGAGGATGGCGGGGGTGGTGAGAAATGGCCCTGACTGTTCTGGGTGTCTTTCCAGGGTGGCAGAAATGTTCTAAAGTTAGATTCCGCAATGCTGTGATGACACCAAAAACCATTAAAGTGAACACTCAAAACAGGCAGACTTTATGATATGCAAATCTGTCTCAGTAAAGCAGTTAACAAACAAAAAGTCCAAACCCAAAGAGCAGCACCTTCCATGTTTCCTGGAACATGGGGCGCACAGGGTGGGGTCCCCGACGCTTGTCAGTGAGCGCGCAGACCTGCCCCTGTGCTCTAAGCACTGGACCGCTCGGTCGGGGTGGGCACGTACACGTGCACGTGTGCACACACGTGTACACGGATGCCTGTTTCCCTTGAGCACGCCAGCTCCTGTGCATTTATGGAAAATTACTGACTTCAAGGGGCTGGGGATTTAGCTCAGCGGCAAAAGCGCCTGCCTGGCAAGCGCAAGGTCGTGAGTTAGGTTCCCGGTACCGGAGAAAAACCAAAAGAAAAAAAAAGAAAATTACTGACTTCAGCCCCACAAGGCTACTGGTGGCAAACAGAAGGCACCATGCGCTGCTCCGCAGAGAAGCCGCGAGCAGCAGCCCAGGCCTGCCTGTGCTTTTCAGGTGGTGCGGTCTTCAAATACAAAAGAGCAGGAAGTGTCTGGGCTGGGGCGCCTCAGAGCGCCTGGGTGACGAAGATGAGACGCTGCCACACGAGGTCACAACAAAAGGGAAATTATATCCTGGCCCTCTGGGAGGCTGAGGCAGGAGAATTGAACGTTTGAGCTCAGCCTGGGCAACTTAGTGAGGCCCTATCTCAAAATAAAATATAAAAAAGGGCCAGGAATGTAGCTTAGTGCAAAGTCCCTGGGTTCAATCCCCAGTATGGGGAGAAAGAGAGTGAGAGAGAGAGAGAGAGGGAGGGAAAGTTAGAGCCCATGGACAGAAAAGCAAAGTGACCTTATTTTATAACATCTTATGCCCTGACAACTTCACCTAAAGGATTTCAGGCAGGCTACAATTTAAAGAGATACAAAATGCAATCATAGTCGGGCCACGGGGAGGCCGCAGGAGAAGCCAGCCAAGTCAGTTGGAATAAAGGACCTGCTCCCGGGGCCTGCTGCGGCCTCGCTGGCCTCCAGCTCTGTCCTGGGCCGTCCTCAGAAGGAGGGGTCCCTGCTGCCTGTGGCTATAGCTATCCTTTTCTGAACTTTGTGGGGATATAATGTGCATAGCACAAACTCCCCCCATTCCTAGCATACAGCCTCAGGGAGTTTTAGGGAATGCACGGGTCATGCATTTCAGACACCTCATGGCCTGTGCGTCTGCAGCTGGTCCCGCCCCCACCCTGGCCTCGGCCACCCCAGCATCCCCGGTGAAGGAGGCTGACGGGGCCCCTGCTTCCATCCTTCAGCGTGGCCTCTTTCCCTTGGAGCTGTGATTTGCGGGTCATTTAAGATGGGGACGCAGAGATGGTGAGAGGGAGCCAGGCAGAGAACCTCTGAGTCTCAATGTTTATGAACGGCAAAGTGAGAGAGAGGACAGTAGTAAGGCCTGCCTTCCTTCCCCACAAGGTGAGGTCTGCAGTTGGCCGACCCTTGGCACATCGTGAGGGTCAGTGCAATGCTCTCCCTCTCTAACATCTAAAGTACCCTCTCCAAATCTGCAGCCTTGTCCTTAGGTCTGCGCCTCATCTGCTCAGTGGACGCCCGCAGGAGCCTGCAGGCCACAGGACAAGGACTAGGGCACAGAGAATGTAAACCATGCCACTTATGTGGCGTGCAAGTGGGGCGAAGGAGCAGACAATCAGCCAACTCACAGGAGAAAAGGCTCACAGGTGCCAATAATGCAGTAGGCTGAGGTGCACTGTGATCAGAGAATGGAGGAAAATACACATGCACGCACACACACACACACACACACACACACACCACTCGCACGAGTGTGCACACACCCTCCGGACTGGGAAAACTAAAAAACAGATGATGTTCAGGGCCCACGTTAAGGGGTGCTGCGCAGTGGGCAGGAACGGAAATCGGTGCGATCTCTTCCGCAGGCTCGTGACAGTATCTGTAACAATCTGAAGTGGACAGAGCTATGGCTGGACAGTTCTGCTTCGGTATCTTCCGCTATCCACACTGGATTGCCATTGAGTCCAGCAAAACTCAGCCCCGTATCCATATATGGGAAAACTCAAAAACTCAGTGTCTGCCCCTGGAGGGAACTTGCATATGGGAAGATACCGTGGTGTTCTCTCTTCTCTGAAGGGTTGTCTGGTTTTGGTTTTTGTTTTTATTTTTATTTTTGTGAGACAGGGTATGGTTATGCAGTTTAGGCTGGCCTTGAACTCACTGTGTAGCTCAAGCTGTGCTCGAACTCTTGGCAGTCCTTCTGCCTCAGACGCCCAAGTGCTGGAATTATAGGCGTGTGCCATCACACCCAGCACATTTTCATTTTTATTTTTCGATTTTTATTGGTACATGTTTGCAGTACATGATTACATTCATGGTGGGAAGTTGATAAATGTACATATCTTAGTTCTTTTTTTTGTCTTTTTGAGATAGGGTTTCACCATGTAGTTCAGGCTGGCCTTGAACTCACTTTGTAGCCCAGGCTGACCTCAAACTCATAGCAATCCTCCTGCCTCAGCCTTCTGAGTTCTAGGATGACAGATGTGTGCCACCAGGCCCAGCTTTTAGTTCTTTTACGTCACCTTTCCCTCCTTCCTCTCCCCGTCCTTCTCTTGTCCCCTTCCTATTTGCAGTTTTTGTGAAATTTAAATAAATTTTTTAATAAGTAGTTAAAAGAAAATCTCATTGTCCACCTCCTTTGAACATAAGTAGCTCCTGAGTTTAATTATTATTATTAATTTTTTTTGTCTTTTTGAGATAGAGTGTTGCTATGAAGTTCAGGCTGGCCTTGAGCTCACTTTGTAGCCCAGGCTGGTCTCAAACTCACAATGATCCTCCTGCCTCAGCCTCCTGAGTGCTGGGATTACAGACGTGTGCCACCATGCCCTGCTTAATTAATATTTTTAAAATTTGGATGTGAGAAATTTTTTACACAAAATTATCTCCCTGATGTCTAAAGTGCCTACAAAATAACTGAGAAGTGTATTTCCAACGGTGCAGAGGGCCATGAATCAGCAGGGTACATGTGTGAGGGGGTGTCTCAGCAGCCTGTACCCCTGAAGAGGAGCCAAGATTGCACATTGGAGAACTATCATAGTGTGCTGTGGCCCGGGGAGCATGAAGGTGGCTGGTGTTTCAGCCCTTGGTAGAGGATAGCTGGGGACAGTTGTACGCTTGGATGTCTCTGTAACCAAAGTTGCTGTCCTGCCGGAAGTAGAGGCGCACACCTGTAATCCCAGCCCTTGGGAGGCTGAGGCAGGAAGATCGCTGTGAGTTTGTGGCCAACGTGGGCTACACAGTGAGACCCTATCTCAAAAAACCAGCCATGCCTGGCAGGAGAGCAACTTTGATTTCATAGACATCCAAGTTCGCAGCTATACCCAGCCACACTGCCGGGGAGACACTGGCCACAACACTTTCAAATCACCAAGACTAACAGCATGAGAAACCCAAAACTCTTTGGTTGGACTGTCAGCTCTTACCTGCCCAGAGTTTCTAGCATCAAGAAAAGCCACAGGAGCCGGGCATGGCGGCTCACACCTGTCATCCCAGCAGTCAGGAGGCTGAGGCAGGAGGATCACCAGAGACCCGGCTGAAAAAAAAAGACACGTCATGGGGAACAGGAAAAAAAATAAAAAAACAAGGCAGAAGAAGAAATGAAGCAAAATGCCCCTGGTGGTGCCCTGGCCGGCTCTTCCTTCGGGACCTCCTTCCTGTGTCTGTCTGTGTGTCTGTATGTTCAGCGTCAAGCACACATCACGGGTGTCTCTTCCAGGCCTGCGGTGTGGTCACGTCACCCTCAGCCTTCTGGTGGCCAGCGTCCTGCTCCTGCTGCTGTCCCTGGCCGTGGCCGTCCACCTGTACTGTGAGTTGTCCCTCCTGAGGCCACCTCTCTGGCCCCGTGTGCTGTCTGAGGTGCCCTGGGATTGCTTTCTTCTCTCAGAGCGCAGTGCATGACAGCCTGCTCGAAACCTGCCCCCGAGAACTCGAGATAGTTCTGGAAGTGATTCTATTCAGTTTTGGGGTTCAGGGTCCGGGAGTGCTGGGGATTGAACCCAGGGTCTCGTGCACGCTAATAACACGCTGTATTGCTGAGCAATGCCCCCGGACCTGGAAGCGATTCCTGGCCCAAAGCCCTAGTGCCCCATCAGAGACCATGGTCTCTGCAGCCGGACAAGGCTGGGTTTGAGTCCCTTGCTGCTGCCCTCGTGTTAGTGACCTGGCCTCAAGCTCAGGGCTTGGTGGCCTCTCCCAGGCGGGTATGGCAGGGTGAGAGTGCCTGGCACACGGCATGTGCCAGGGCAGCCGGATCTCCCCATACGGTATGAACACAGGCCAGGTGCCCAGGACAGCTTATCGGGGGCTGGGCGGCATCCCCAGAGGCTCTTCCCCTCGCCAAGGGCGCAGGGAACCCAGACTGGCTGCTGCCCTTGGCCGCTCACCAGAGGAGAGGGGAGACTCACCCCCTCCCGTGGGCTCCCCAGGCTCTGCATGCCGCGGCGTCCCAGGACAGGGAGAAGGCAGAGGGGGCGCCCAGGCTGGCCGTGGCTCTTCTGCTCACCCCTGCCACTGTGAGCAACACCCCTTCTCTGGCTCCTGTACAGTGGAGAGGGGACCCTGAGGGCCACAGACCAGGTCAGCGGCTCTTAACTTTTAGGGATCACAGACCCCTTTGAACATATGGTGACCACTGGGACCTCCCCTCAGAGAAATGACCCTGTGCACATGCACTGCTTTGCATCCGAGCCCCCCAAAGGGTCTGTGCACCCCGTTCTAAGAACACCATTAAAGTTTAAGGGTCTAAATTTTCCTGAGTAAGGACCTCATCCATGGAAGAACTAAAAATTGTTACCACTAACCACAGCAAGCTATTTAGTATATTGTGGGTGTTACTGGTTGCATTTTAAAGATAAAAGGTAATACAGGATGAGGTAAACATGTAGGTAGATCGACATGATGGCACAGGTCTGTGATCCCAGCACTCTGCAAAGCTGAGGCAGGAAGATCGCAAGTTCAAGTTCATCCTGGGCAACTGAGCAATTTAGCCAGATCCAGTCTCTAGATAAAAAATGAAAAAGGGCTCAGGATGAGGCTCAGCGAGAAGGCATTGGGTCCAATCCTCAGCACTGCAAACAAACAACAAAAAAACCAAGCAGACCTGCTGATGTTTGCTTCCCATGTCTCAGTGGGAAATCCCGCTCCCACCTGCATGACTTCTCAATCTGACCTGCTCTGAAGCGGGACAGCGAGCTTAAGGACAGACTCTGCTGCCTGTGTCAGGATCCTGCTTCAGCACTTACTAGCCTCATGGCTTTGGACTAGTGACTTAGAAACTCGCTTTGTGCCCCAGGGTCCCCAAGTGTAGAATGGACATCGTTGTCATAGTACCCAAATCACAGGTCGACAGTGAGCAGGAAGGGGAAGAAAATCTGGCGGGGTGTTTGGGGTAGAGCCTGGCCTGGAAAGAGGTCTGAAGTGTCAGCTAGCCCGGCCCTTCCCTGCCCTGGCTGTGTGCCAGGGTCCCCGCAGCTGACGGTGCCCTCGTTCTGCTCTTCCAGGCCTGCGGAGGAGAGCGCGGCTTCGCTTCATCAAACAGTGAGTGTCGTGTCGTTCCGGGGTGACGGGGTTTCACAGCCCCTGCTGCTGGGTGCAGCCTCAGATGTCACCTTCATACAGTCCTCAGCAGAGGAGGTGACAGAGTAGGAAAAGCTGATTTAAACAAAACACTGCGTAATCCCTTGGCAAACATACTTCGTGTAAAGTGAGATTCAGTTCTCAGCCCTGCAGCCCGCAGCCGTCAGCCTTGTGCACACAGAGAACCAGGGGAACCCGGGTTCTGTGACCCAGGGCTTCAAGCACCTGAGCTCCCATGGAGGTCGCCGCCGCTGCCGCCCCCACTCTACAGAGCGGGGGAGAGGCGGCTCCAGGAGGCCAGGCCTGTCCTTTCCAGGAGCATCAGGCCTCCCATCCGCTGCCCTCCACCCGGCCTGGGCCCAGGGGCTGGTAAAGCCACAGACTGAGCCTCAAAGCCCAGGGGCTGAAGAACCCCACCCCAAACCCCTGTGCCTCCAAGGCCCCAGCAGAAGCAGAGATGCCAGAGGCCAGAGGCTGCAGCACTCTTGCCTCCAGGGTTAGGACCCCGGCCCTGGCCTCCCAGTGCTCTTGGATTTACTTTTTTCCTCAGTGGAGATTGTTTCATATCTGCCTTCCTCACTAACTTACGTGATCCTCAGAACACACCCCCCAGCTTCACCCCCACTCCAGCCAGATGTAGTGGTGCACACCTGTAATCCCAGCACTTGGGAGGCTGAGGCAGGAGGATTGCTGAGAGTTGGAGGCCAGCCTCAGCTACATAGTGAGTTCAAGGCCAGCCTGCACGTCTTCATAGCAAAACACTGTCTTAAGGTAAAGAACCCCCACCCCAGCCATGTGGAAATGTGTGGAGGGATAAAAGAATAGCGTCTTAGTGTATGAGGCCAATGGGGTCTGGTGTCAAGGGTTTTGGCTCCAGCAAGAGGTAGTTCTGGATTTGAATTCTGATCACCCCTCACTGACCGTATGACTCTAGGTGAGTGACGTCACCTCTCTGAGCCTCCGATTTCACATCTGTAAAGTGAGATCATGGTACCAACGTCCTGGCTTTTGCAAAGACATTGGGGTGGCCGTAGAGCGTGTGGCCCTGCCCTGAGGAGTCAAAGCACAAGCTTATGGAGAGTAAATTCAACTCTAGGAGTCCAACCATCAACCTCTACTAACTGTCATCATCGAAGGCTGGATTGTACACTACGCTACGTTTCTACAGAAGGTTGTGGAACATGCCTGCGATGCGTCAGCAGCGATTTGCATTGATTAAGTGGATGAGGTGCAGTTTTGACCTCATGGGTTGGCTTAGAAACTGCCCCTACCTGATAGAGAGCAAGAGTGTATCGGTCTAAGGCTAAACCTGTAGGAACTTCCATCCAAAATCCTCCCCATGGTGACTTTTTCTGGAGAGGGAGACCGCTCTGGGCATTGCCTGAGGTCTGTGTCACAAACCTTTCAACCCTTATCTCATTCCCCATTGATATGATGCCAGTTTGGGGACCCTCTCCTCAGAGAAATGGCCTGGTGCATGTACACAGTTTTGTACCCAAGCCGCCCCAGGAGGCCCCCCCATCCTAAGAACACCATTAAAGTTTAAGGGTCTAAATTTTCCTGAATAAGGTCCTTATCCATGAAAGAACTAAAAATTGTTACCACTAAGCACAGCAAGCTATTTAGTATATTGTGGGTGTTACTGGTTGCATTTTAAAGATAAAAGGTAATAAAGGATGAGGTAAAAATGTAGGTAGATCGACATGATGGCACAGGTCTGTGATCCCAGCACTCTGCAAAGCTGAGGCAGGAAGATCCCAAGTTCAAGCTCGGCCTCCTGGGCAACTGAGCAACTTAGCCAGATCCAGTCTCTAGATAAAAAATGAAAAAGGGCTCAGGATGAGGCTCAGTGAGGCCTTGGATTCAATTCTCAGCACTGCAAACAAACAAACAAACAAAATAATTAGACTTGCTGATGTTTCCTTCCCATGTCCCAGTGGGAAACCTCACTCCCGCCTGGACACACACGCTCAGCTGAGGCGGGGAGGGTGCTCTGGACGGTCACACAGGGCCCTAAGTCTCCCTCACCCCTTTGCTCAGAAGGGCTCTGCTTTGGACTGTTTGTCTGGGTTTAACCTTAACTGCACGATGACATTTGAACAAAACAGCTTGTGGCTAAAACAAAGCCTGAAAACCACCTCTGGTTTGCTCTCATGATCCAGGAGGTCCTCGAACTGTCCGTAGAACATTTCCCATCAGCAGCCCAGGTCTCTCTCGTCCCTTACTGTGCATCTCTGGATAGCTTGCCTTGGTTCTGCCGAAGAAACACTCTCCAAAGCTAGAGTGCTTTGAGCTATTTTTTGTTGTTGTTATTGGAAGGGGAATTTTTTTTTCTTCTTTTATTTTAGCTTTTTGTTATGTTTTTTTTTTTTTAATGACTGCAATGGGCCCTAAACATGCTAACATAAAAGTCTTAGCCCCAGGCTGCTTGGATGAGAGCCCTTCATCCTCCTTTGCCATTTGTCTCTGTTACAGGAAATGCAGTAGCATTTGCCTGGAAACAGGTGTTCTTACAACTTGCCGTTGCTTCCAGGTTCTACAAATGAGTGGAGATGGCGCTTGTGGTGGCCTGCTATGCGAAGCCACTGGTCAGGAAGGAGCAACATCTGGACAGAGGAGGAAGAAGGGGACACACTCAAGGCTGGACATTTCACTGCCATGCGCGAGCTGCCTGCTTTTAACTGCTGCAACTTCTGTCTGGGGAGCCTCGCACTGGAGCCCTTCAGGATTCACTGCTGAGCATCAGAGAGAAGGCTCCAGAGCCCCAGGGCACTTCGCAGAGTGTGCTAGAGGACTGATAATCTGCACCAGAGACACCGCCTTTGGTTCCTGTGCTCTCCCCAGGCTGGGCTGGGGCCTTGGTGGTAGCTATGCAGCCACCATCTTTGCAAGTTGCTTTGCCCTAGTATGGCAGGGACATTGGCTCCCAGGTCTGTTATTGGGTGGACTTGTGACTGAGGCTTCCGGAGAGGGAATTCCCAGCAGCCCTGGGAGCCTCCAGCCTTCCTTTGGGGCTGGGAGGCTGTGGGGTTGGGGAAGGAATTTCACTCCACGGCTTGTATACTTCTCTCACTCTGTCCTTTTAGGAAAATATCTGAGCTATAAAAATAAAGTCTTGATTTAAAGATACAAGTGACTTCTGTGACATAAAGGGACAGAAGCTCACCCACAGCAAAGATATGGATGCTCAGTGGAAATTTAAAATTTATAGATCTCCCTTTGCATCTGAGAGCCTTAGTCGCCCCCACCCCACCCCCCAAGTGCTGCAGATTACATTGTGGGTGTGGGGAAGCCGGAGCACTTAGGAAGCACTTGGGACACCCACCACCAGGCTCCAAGGCCTAGGGCCAGCTAGGGCTCCTTCTCTAGACAGCAGCTGGGTCCAAGGCCTCCCAGCCTTCCAGCAGCCTTGCACCAAAAAGAGGGAGACTTCAGGGCCTCTGTCCATTCGTTTGTTTATCAGCTTTCAGCCTCAGTGGTTAAAAAAGCAACAGGCCAGGAGGAAACGCTGAGCTGGGTGGGGACTGGAGGGGAACCCTAACCCTTCTGAAAAGGCCCCTGGGCCTCATCCTAGTCCCTGCCCTGCGAACCAGCAGCCAAGGAGCTACTGGGCTCCGGATCAGTGCAGCCTGAGCTGCACTCACAGAAGCACCAGGCCTGAGAACAGAGTCCGCCCCGCTTTTCCTGGCAGCCCCACGTGGGGCACTGGAAAATTTGGTGTGTTGAGAGGCCGCTGGCAGCCACAGAGTGTGAAAACGTTCCAGAGAGCAGGGCGGGAAAGGGGACTCCGGGGGCAGGGGCAGCGTAGCCACCTCCAGCCCCTGCGGTGTGGCTGCAGCAGCAGAATTGGGTGGGGAGGGTGGGACGTAGAAGGGGCCGATGCAGGACGTGGTCACAAAGCAAGCGCTTTCTGCCCATCAGCTCTAAGGACAGGTGACAGGCCACCTCCAAGGCTGAGGGGAGAGGGAGAAGGGCTCAGGGCCGGTGGCCCAGGCTCACCCGGAGCTCGCTGTCAGGGTGGGCTCCTGGCGTAGGCCATGCTGGGGAAATGATGGGACCGAGGCCCCGACTCCTCACACCCAGGCCGCGGCGAAGGAAGAGCAGGCCTCAAGGCCTGTGCCTTAGCAGGGCAGGGGCCAGGCGTCTCCCCCACACAGGCGTCTCTGCAATCACACTGACTTGTTTACTCGTTCGAGTGGGGCTGGGTCAGAGGGCAGAGCTGGCTCAGGCTTCCTCATCTGTTCTAAACAGTAGGCAGCTGCCGAGCTAGTGGGCTCAGCCGTGGTGCCAGGGAGCCCGAGCAGCCTCGGTGCCGGCGTTGGGGCTGCGGTGAGGAGGTCTGCACCAGCACCTGCTTTTGTTCTGAACAAGGAACTGAACAGTCACTACTATCTGGTGGGCCATTGTGGCTACACACATCGGGCACAGCCTGTAATCCCAGCACTCTGGAGGCTTGGGCAACAGGATCACCCCAGTTGGGGGCCAGTTTGGGCTACACAATGAGTTCAAGGCCAGCCTGAACTACATAAGGAGGCGCTGTCTCAAGAAAAAAAATAATTTAGCTGTCTTCTGACTAGCAATTCCACCTGTAGGCATTTATCTTAAACATGCCAAAGTGATTACGTTCAGAAATATGCATCAAACTTTTCCATTTGGTTCTGCTTACTAACCAAAAATTGGAAACAATCCAAATGCCCATCCATAGGCACCAGTTAGGTAAATTATGATCCGGCCAGGGAGTTTCTGCAGCTGTTAAGGAATGTACTAGATCATGCATATTGCCATCAAATGGTGGTCATGGCATGTGTGTTCATTTTAACAACATCTCTATTGATGATTCTCAATTTAATACAATACATGGGACAGTATATGATCATTGTTAAGACACAAATAGATATTACTAGACGTCAGGGTGCGGTTACCCGGGGTGCAGGATGATCACTACGAAGTTTGGGGTACAGCATGTTATTCACGTGCATTTGCTCAGCTTGTAAAAAAGTCAGCAACCTGCGTGTTGACTTTTCTACAGAGACGTGGACATAGATATAGATCATACTTCAATAAAGAGATACAGTGTTAAAAGCCCAAGTACAGAACATCACAAAAATCTGTAAAACCAACATTTAATACTTTCTCGTTTATTCTACACATGCTTTTTTAAAAAGAAAACTGAAATCTTAAAATACAAAATATAATTCATAAAATACATAACATGTAGGGTATAGAAAGAAGTTCTAACCTCCTTGTTCTGCAGATTTTCTTGTCTTCTCTAATATAACAAGGCCTCTGGGTAGGAGCATTTGTACATATGTAGGAAAAAGTCTGGAAGGATCGACTTCAAGCCGTCAAGGGCAGTCACCTCGGGGAATTTCCACTTGCGTTTGCACAGTGGTGTGTGCAGTTGGGAGCTATAGTTTTGTAATGGGAGAGCAACAAAAGTTTGGAAAAAAGAAACAACCTAATTTAAAAGGGCTCTCTGGTCATTGTGATTTTAAAAAATAGAATCAAATATCCCAATAGGAGAGACTTGCTCCTAAAGTATACTTTTAAAAATCTGTACCATGAAGTCACTGGGGTGCGTGCCTGAGGCCACCAGACAGCAGGCCCATGGATTTACTAGCTGAGCGACCTCGGCGCGCCCGGATCCCCGCCTCTGAAAGGGATCAACGGTGACCCTTCTCAGTCCTGCCAGGCGTCCCTGAGCATGCGCATTAGGCACAGGCTGCAGGTGTGGCGCCCACCGCGAGGGCGTTCAGGGAGGAAGGGGGCTCCAAGAACCACAGCGAGGACAACAACCACACCACCCTTCCTTTCATCCTTACTCCTCCCCCACAACCCGCCTGTGGGAGTGGGCAACTTGTTTTCAGAAAGAGATCCCCCGCCCGCGTGGGCTGCAGAGCTGATCTGAATCTACCACCTAGTCAAAGGGAAAGAGAGAAACAGTTCCGTGTTCTCAGCCTTTGCAGGTGGCGGAGGACAAAGAGATTTCCTCTGTCTTCTCGGGAAACCTCCGCCACGCGTCACCGTGAGTCACTGGTGCCTGGAGTCCTCAGACTGAAGGGAACCCTGTTCCAGATTCTAGGAATTGACCCCAGGGCCATCACCCTGAGCAAGATCCCCAGTCCTTCCTATTTTTTATTTTGAGACAAGGTCTCAGTGTCACTTAGTTATCAAATAACCCAGGCTGTCCTGCCTCAGCCTCCCAGAGTGTGGGGATCACAGGTGTGTGCTGCCACACCCCACAACTGATTCTTAACAAGCTGCGAGCTGCCGCCTTGGTAAGAGGGCACTTGCCCTCCTGTGCTGTGTTGCTGGCTCTCCAGGATCACAGTTTGTCTACTAATCTAGTCTTTCATGTGTGATTACTCATTTAGAGCTTGAACTCACTATGTAGCCCAGATTGGCCTTGAATTTGAGAGGGATCCTCCTGCCTCAGTCTCCTGAATGCTGGGATTATAGTCATGCATCACTACATCTGGCTTGCTTCTTTTTTTTTTTTTTTTTTTTCAGTGCTAGAGATCAAACCCAGCATCAGGCAAGCATCTTACCACTGTGTTATACCTCCAGGCTCTTTCTATACATTTATTCATGTGTTTATTTGTTGTTTATCGGTACCTAGGGATTGAACCCAGGGAGTGCTGAGCTACATCCCCAGCCCTTTTCACCTTTGTTTTTATTTTGACACAGGGTCTTGCTAAATTGCCCTGTCTGCCCTCAAATTTGTGATCCTCCTGTCTCAGCCTCCTGAGTACTGGGATTATAGGCATGTGCCACCTTGCTGGGCTGCTTAGGCAACTTGAAGTCAGTTCAGATATACTTACTTATCTGCAGCACTGTTTGTGTGCCCTGCTGGCCCTGGTCTGCAACAATGAGTGCACTGTGGCCAAGACAGACCTATCAGGCTCGAGGGCCCACAGTCTTTCTTACAGCACCTGCCAAAGAGACTTCTCAAGCCCGGCTTCCGTACCTGCCTGACCAGCTGCGGCCCAGGCCTGGGCGAGCCAAAGGGCTCCTTTTCTGCTACCTGTACGTGTGGCTACTGTTGCTAAGCCTGAGGCCAGAAACTAAATGAAGGAATGAGCAAAGGAGAAAGCTCATCTCCGAGGGCCTCAGGCTCCACAAGCAGGGCCCACTCCCGAGCCCAGCGGGCCAGAGCACAGCTCTCCAGGGGCCACCACTCCCAGCCCTGCTTTGCTGGGGCTCTGCGCTCCTCCAAGCTGTGAGGGCCCTGGGAATGTGCACTGTGCCACGCCCAGGCAACAAGCCCCCTGGAGAACATCAGCTCAGGGACTCAAACGGGTCCTAGGCACAGACACTGTCCCCACCCCGGGGGCAGAGGTATTAGCACAGGGGACGCAGACCCAGGGCTGCCGCCGTCTCAGTGACTTGGAGAGTGAGTGGCCTGGCCATGACCAACCTAGGTGCAAGACACGAACTCCTCACAGATGGCTGCGCTGGACCGAGGGAAGCCTTCACAGCGTCTCAGGATTCTGAGAAGTTGGGTGGGGACGAAGTTACAAGAGGAAGAGCTGAGGTGGTGCTGGTGGGGCCCACCGCCCCCGGCACCCTCCTCCCAGCACCCTTCCGCATCCTGTGGGCCTGAAGCCAGCTTCAGGAGTTGCACGCTGGCTGGGCAAGACCATAACAGGCCCAAGGGAGGCCGTGACTCCTGCCCTCTGTCGCAGGCCTCAGCCGAGCTCAGGGACGCAGGGAGGGGAGAGCAATGTGCAGTTGGAGCTGCACCTGCCTTGTGATGGATCTCAGGTCTGTGGCAAGGCCAGGCAGAGTGGGGCAGGGGGAGCGGGGTCTGAACTGTCCCTCCCTTTCATCAGCACCGGCCCTGCAGTCACAGGGAGGCTTCAGGTTCTGGCAAAGGGAGGTAGGGTGCTTCCACAGGCCCGCGGGCCTTTGTGGGAACGCCCGTGTGCACCTCCTCCAAGCCCAGCTCACTCAAAACTCAGAATCCCAGGTCAGGGCCACTCTTCTGTGGGGGCTGAAGGAGGGGAGAGGAAAGCTGGCTGGACTCAGATGAGAGCAGCCTGACTGCCAAAGGGCTCTTCCGCTTCGTCAAGCTCGGTGCAGAGAACATCCGCCTTGCAAACTCTTCCTGACCACTGTGAACACCGGCC